CGTCCCACATACAGCAACTAGAAGGATGTGCAGCTATGACATACAACTATCTACTGGGGCTTTGGGGGAAAAGTAAATAAATAAATAAAATTATATAAAAAAAAGTCAATAGAAAAATGGGCAAATAACACAAACAAGCCAATCACAGAAGAAGAAATACAAATGGCCAGTATGCATATTAAAGATGCTCAATATTACTAATAATTAAAAGAATTGTAAATTAAAATAATTAGTTAACTTTTTGTTGCCTCTCAGATTGACAAAGTATAAAAAGATTTAGAAAACCAAGTGTTAATGAGATTATGAATAAACTGGCACTCTCATTTGCTGTTAGTTGGAGCATAAATTGGTATTTCATTTTTGGAAGGCAATTTGGCAATTTTTATCAAAATTTTATCAAAACATATCCTTTGATGCAGCAATTCCACTTTTAGGAATTTCTCCTGCAGAGACTAAAACACATGTGCACAGAGATGGTTGTACAGGATGTTTGCTGACATACTCCCTAAAACAGGAAAAAACTGGAAACAATCTAAATGCCCATCAGGAGGGGAAGGTTATGTTAATTACGGCAAATCTACGCCATGAAATGATGTGCAGCAATTGAATATAGAATGAAATCTATATGTACTAACATAGAAATATCTCCAAGACATATTAGTCAATGAAAAAAGAAGTCCCAGAACAATCTGTAGCATGATCTCATTTATGTTTGTCTAAAAGTGTGTGTGTGCGTGTAAAAACAGGAAAATGAGTGTCAATAGGAAACAGTGGTTATCTCTGGGGAAGTATGTGGAATTTGGTGGAGGGTAGGGAAGAGGAGACCTGTGTAGGAAGTCTCACACATTTTACTTTTTAAAATCTTTTATAGTGAAAATGTACTGATATATTATTTGTGTAACTTTTTAAAAATACAATAACTAGTAAATGTAATTATTCATACTCTTTGAGCCAGCACTTCCACTTCTAGAAATCTCTCACATCTGTGTGCAGAGACAGAGGTGCAAGGGTGTTCACTGCAACACGGTTTGTGATAAAAAACCGATCATTACCCAAATATCTCTCGATCGAGGACTGGTTAAATAAATTATGACATATTTACTCAATGGAATGTTATTCAGTAATAAAAAGAGTGAGGCAAACCTGACTGTATTGAAATATAATGATAACCAAGATGAACTGTTTAGTTAAAAAAGGAAGAAAAACATCAATAAAATGATCTCATTGTTTAAATACATAATAGTATGTGTCTAGAAAGAAAAACATGGAGGAATAGACTCCCAAACTTTAGGGAGTAGATTACAGGGAACTTTCACTTTCTTGGCATGTATATCTGAAATGTTTGAATTACTTTTTACCACAAGCATGTATTATTTTTGTAATCAGGAAAAAAAAAGATTAAAAATGTAAGTCTCCACTTCCTCACATTCCATTTGATGGTTCAACCCACTGTAATTTGCCTTCCACCATACCTCCCTGCTGAAACTCTTTTGGCAAAGATTGGCAATGATTCCTGCCAAAACCAAGAGTGTATCTTTAGTTCTCACTTTAATTCATGCAACTCCTCACTTGGCCTCTAAAATACCACTCTCTAAATTACAGAGGACCCTCTCTGACTGTGCCTTCTTAGTCTCTATGGTAGGCAGAATAATGGCCTCTCAAAGATGTCCACAGCCTGGGCCGGCCCCATGGCTTAGCGGTTAAGTGCATGCGCTCCGCTGCTGGCGGCCCGGGTTCGGACGACGCACCGCTTCTCCGGCCATGCTGAGGCCGCGTCCCACATACAGCAACTAGAAGGCTGTGCAACTACTGAGGCTGCGTCCCACATACAGCAACTAGAAGGCTGTGCAACTACGACATACAACTATCTACTGGTGCTTTGGGGGAAAATAAAAAAAAAAAAAAAAAAAAAAAAAAAAAAAGATGTCCACAGCCTAATCTCTAGAATCTGTGAATATGTTGCCTTACCTGGAAAAAGAGACTTTGCAAGTATGATTAAATTAAGGACTTTAAAATGGGGAGATTATCTTGGATTATCTGGGTGGGCCTGATGTAATCACAAGGGGCCCTTATAAGTGAAAGAGGAAGGCAAAAGGGAAGAGTCATGGAAAGAGATGTGACAATGGAAGCAGAGGTTGGAGTGATAACATTGCTGGTTGGAAGGGGGACAATGAGCCAATGAATGCAGGCAGCCTCTAGAAACCAAAGGCAAGGCAAGGGATTCTCCCCAAGAGCCCCTAGAAAAAAACAGAGCAGCGCCAACACCTTGATTCTAGTGCAGTGGGACCTATTTTGAACTTATGAACTCCAGAGCTGTAAGATAATAAATTTGTGTTGTTTTAAGCCACTGTTTGTGGGGATTTGTTACAGCAGCAATAGGACACTAATACAGACTCCTTTAATAATTCATCTTCCTCTGCTCAACCCTTAAATAGAGTATTTACCAGGATCTTGCTGTCCTTGTCCACCTTCTCTTCTTACCTCTTTCTCTGGGTAACTCATCTACTCTCAGGACGTCAATTACCTCCTAGGAGCAGATGACTCTCAAACACATATCTTCGACCCTGACTTCTCTCCTAAATTCCTAACATTTATTTCTAACTACCCATCACACATCTCCATCTGGGTGCTCAACTGACACCTCAACTCAATATGTCTAAAACGGAATCTATCTTTCTTCCTTAAACTGGTCTTCCTCCTGTATTCCCTATCTTAATAAATGGCACCCTCATCTGCTCGCTCCCCATGTAGAAAATGTCCTAGATTCATCTTCACCTCCTCCTCCACACCCATCAGTTACCAAGTGTTGTGGCTTCTACCTCATCAACTCCACTGCTGCTGCCTTTGCTGTTGTGTTCATCATCTCTTGTCTAGACGATTGCAATAGACGTATTCTCCTATCCTGTCTCCTTCCTCCAACCCATCCTCCACAGAGTTCCCATAGCAGTATTCTTTTCATCTCCCCTTCTTCAAATGTTATGATTTTTTCAATATCAACACAAATTTTCATTAGTGCTGTATTTATATCATTATTTTCATGATTCAGGTTGAATTATCAGAAACTGCTATGAGAGTCTCATTTGCAGAACACACAGTAAAGACTCAAAATATATGATTTCAAAGTGTCTAATACTATAAATGAAAACGAAGTCAGATGTTGAGGATTTAAAAACTGGCCAAAAAAATTGATCATGTGTTTAAATACAAGATTTAAGTTATAATATGCACCCAGAGATATTTCTGCTTTCTGGAATAATATTTTATATACACAGAGAGTAATTTTTATTATATACATAGAGTAAAATACCATATATATTAGCATCTATATATATATACCTCTCTTTTCTTTTAGTTAAATCTTTCATGAGTTCAAGAGTTACCCACGGTTCAAGGATTGCACATTCAAATGCCTTAGTGGCTAGAAAGGTAAAGTGAATGAGTGAATAGCAAGGAACCGAGGAGACTGTGGTAAATTGAAGAATACATGACCCACTTCTTAGAAATAACCAAATTCAAAAAAATTTAAAACACTGTAAGGCAAACAATACTAAACAAGACAAATCATTTCTGTGGGCTGTCAGCTTTCAATCTCTGGCAGGATAAAGTTAAAAGTTCCTCAGCACAGCATTCATGACCCTCCATCATCTGGACCCTGCTCAACTCAGTCCTCTCTCTTTCCATTCCCCATCTTGTACCCTATGTCCCAGTCACAATGAATGACATACACTAGTGCACCTCCACATTGTTTGGTGGCTCCTCTGGCCTAACACGACTTCTTCCATCTAGAATGTCTTTCACTCTCCTTATCAAACCCTGATTCCATAACCTCCTGCAAGATCCCAGAGCTGGATTCTCAACACAACAGCCTCAATTCCAAGATACCTCAAACTCAACTTGCCCCACACTGAGCTCTTCATCTACCAATACCATCCCTCCAATTCTTTCTCTTTGAAGGGAGAAAGAGACTAGAAATGGGAGTGCAGTTAGGAGACTGTTGCAATAGATTTGGGAAGAAATTATGATGAATGAATGAATGACCACTGATTAACTGGTTGAATGAATGAATGAACCATGGCCAAGTTCCCTGCTAGCTCCATCACTCAGTATCTGGCTTAGCTCTTATACAACCTTCCTTGTTCCCACATTGTCCTCCCCCCACCCCCACATTCTTGGCTTCTCTGAGCCCTAAGAGTTGGTTGGGAGAAACAGATGGATATTTTTAGGTTTATAGGGAAGAGGATTGTCACCCTTGACCCTTCTAGGTTCAGATTATGGTCCTTGCTTCTTCTAAAGCTCCCTTCCATTTGGGCAATCCACTTTGGTACCCAACCATCTGTGCCTCTCTTCTTCCTCAACTCTCTTTCTATGCCTTGATACCTTCTCTAAGTGCCTTTCCCTTCTTACCCAACTGCCCTCATTCCCCAGGAAAACAATTTCTAACCACTTACCTCCTCCCCATCTTAGGCAACGAGCCAGATCATTTCCAGTGCCCAGGGGCAACACAGCGACAGGAGGCACAACAGGCAAGTTGGCTTTGTCTGGGGAGGCAGGTGAGGAGATGGATGGAGGGAGTTAGCTCTGGAAGGCCACTGCCCCAGTGCCCTGCCCGGAGCCTCTCCCTGCACTGACCAATGGTCTCTAGAATCCAGCCTACTGTGCCATCTCCGCCACACACCAAAACCCGGCAATCAGGAACCTCTCTGAAGAATCTGAGCCTGAGACAAAGGTGAGAGAGAAGGTGAGGAAGGATAACAGGATCAAGGCTACCCAACTCCTGGACAGGCAGATTACTTCTTGTCTCTCATTCCTTATGACCCCCTTTCCCTTTGTTAAAAGGCTTGAGTTTCAATTAAGGGCAGAGAGAAAGTACATTGGGGGAAGTTACATCCACTCCTCAGTGGTTAAGGAGAAACCGGCATCTCCATCCTTTGAGAGCAGGAGAAAGATGAGCCAGAGAACTCAGAGATGGGGTACCCAGTGACCCCAGGAAAAGCAGCATTCTGAATTCTGGTTTCTTGGGGTCCCCTAGCCTTCCCCTCCCAACATACACTCTTTCTTGTTCTCTCCCAATGTACAAAGACAGGCAGGCACACACAAACACTGTGATACAGCCCCTAATCTATACTCACCCTGGCTCAGGACCATCCTTTAGGAGGTTGAACACCTGTCGAGGGTTTAGCAGATATTGGAATTTCCAAAGCACCCTGTGTGAGGGAAAAAGGAAAGCTCATGGCAGCGGATAGATATTCTGCACCCCACCCTCTTGATGTCCTCCTCAGGGTATGTCCCCTCCATACACACAGATTCCCAGCCTCTATCAGTCATCCCTCTCCATCTTAGAAGACCCAGTATATCTCTTCTCACCTCTCCCCCTGCTTCCCGCCACTCTTAGGGTTGACGAAGACGAGAAGCGGGTGGGTGTTAGAAACAGGGTCAATCTGCATTGGGAAAGAAAACAAGGACAGGGAAGCAGAATTTTGTCAGAGTTAAGATGGGCCCTGGAGACAGGGGCAGAAGGCTGGCATTCCCCCAAGATGCTTTCCCCTCCCCTACCAGGGTGGGGCTTCTGAAAGCAGGCACCATTCCCCAGGTTTCCCACTTCATTCCCTCCCATGAGGGCTCCAGCAAAGAAAAACCAGCCCCCACCATGAATCCCAAGCCTCTCAGCCCTGTACCCGCAGAGCCTCAAAGGTGCTCAAACTTAAATCATCCACAGTCTTCTGGCTTGTTTTGCTAGTTTTACGCTCTTGTCCAGAGGCCTAGGAAGGGAGGGAAGCAGAGGGAAGGAAAACTGGATTGTGTGTGTGAATCCCTAAACAGATGAGAGTCTGACTTGAATCCTAAAAGTATAGGCTTTCTGTATGAAGTGACATTGTGTGTGTGTTTTTTAATCCAGGAAGCACTCCTGTCACCTCCCAGCTGCTGCCCCAGGGTCTCACCAGGACGCTGGGGTAGATGGAAGATGGAGGCAGGATGTGATCACGGAGCAGCCCACAGTCACACTCAGGGCCCACGGCTTGCAGGCAGTCATCATGGATCTGAAAGACAAGGAGGGCTCAGAGAGATGGAACCCCGTCTCCTCTCAAGTTGGGGGTCTGGGACTGGAAAGAGAGCCCTTGGGAGCAGGGGCAGCTGTGGCTGAAGGGGAGATGGGACCAAGAAGGTGAGGGGAGAGAGGGCGGCTTCAGGAGGGGACCTAAGCCATAAGCTGGAGGGACAGCTCCTAAACTGACCTCTAGGTGGCACCACACACAATGCAGCCCGACTAGGCTGTGGTAGATCCGGATCTTTTTCTGACAGCGGTCGCATCGCCCGGACTCACAGCCTCCTCGAACCCACACATGTGATTGGACCTTGGGTAGAAAGGCAATCCCACGTCTGAGAGGGTCTGAGCAGGGACTGGGGGAAGGGCTGAGGGCAGCAACAGGCTAAGAGCCATGGGTGGTGATGGGGGGGCATGGGGTCACTCACACCAATGTCCTTCCGAGACTTGGCATAGGTGCTGACTTCACAAGGCAGGGCCTTCATGGCACAATGGTCGTGAACGATGTACTTACAGACTGGGTGAGAGGGGAGAAGATCAGAGCCTTAGCTGCAGCCCCTTCCCCTATTTCCTCCTTACCTGGGGGTGAGGCGGGAGCACTAACTGAAACAAGACATCTAACCCCTTGCTGTGGGGGTGGGTTAGACAATTACAGCCTGGGGCAGGGGCTTACCTCCAAGACCTGGGCCTCTTGCTCTCTTCCCCCTAAAAGAGCAATTGCTACCACATGCCCGCCCCCACTCCATCCATGTGCCAGGAACTGAGCTGGACGATGCAAAGGAGGACCAGATATAACAACAACAATAATAATAAAATAGCTCATTTTTATTGCAGACTTAATAGTATGTACATGCACTGTGTGAAGTGCTTTTCTTGCATCAACTTATTTTTTTTCGTGAGGAACATCAGCTCTGAGCTAACATCCAATGCCAATCCTCCTCTTTTTTTGCTGAGGAAGATTGGTCCTGAGCTAACATCCATGCCTGTCTTGCTCCACTTTATGTGGGACGCCGCCACAGCACAGCTTAGACAAACGGTACGTCCGTGTGCGCCTGGGATACGTACGAACCTGTGGACCCCAGGCCACTGAAGCAGAGTGCGCGCACTTAACCGCTTGTGCCACAGGGCCAGGCCCCGCATCAAGTTATTTAATGCTCCCTGTTACCTCACTTTCAGTACAGGAAACTAAGAAGTTACATGGCTTTCCCAAGGTCATATAACTAGTCAGTGGCAGAGCCCAGGACTCAAACCCAAGGCTCTCTAAGTTCAGAGCGCCATGCTTCCTCAGATAGCTGGGCTGCCCCTCTGCTCCCACACTCCCAGGCCCCATCACTCACGGTTACAGCTCAGCCCCTGTTTGCCAAGACCAATGCTCGACTCGCACAGGTTGCAGTAGACTGGTCGGGGGAACCTCTTGGGTCTCCACATGTGCTGCCCATTGTCCTTCAGGGTCTGGGAGAGCACAGCAGACGCTAGGGAGTGCCTATGCCCTTAGAGGGCCAACCTCTGACAAGCACAACCCATGGCAGCTGTCTTACCCATCCTCACAAGTCTTTTCTACTCACCATCTCCAGACCCAGCAGCACTAGCAGTGGCACAGTGGTGGCCCCAGCCCGGAGCCACTCAGCTAGGGAGACAGAGCCGCTGCCATCATAGTCAATCTCTTTCATCATCTCCTGAAGAATCTGAGCAGAGAATGGGGGAGACTTGTGGCATGAGTTGCTCCTCAGATCTGACACCTCTCCACTGCCCCCTAGGACACCCAGCCCAGCCATCCTAGCCAAGGGAACCACGCTGCCTATCAGAGATGGTGTAAGGGAGACACATGATTCACCAGGGAGAAGGGACATGAAGAAAAACTGCCTTACCGGCCTCAGCTCAGACACATCCCAATCCAGGTATTCAGCCACTCGCATCATCTGTATGATGATTTTGTCCACTTCCTGGGGGCCAAGAGGGCAAGAGCCACAGCCGTATCCCACCTCACTACCACCATCCAAACTCTTCTCTAGAACTCAGGGTTCCTGGGTTCCACCCCCAGACCCACCTCTCATTCTCAGGTGCCTCTGCCAAGTAAACAAGTGTCTATGTGTGTTCATATGTTTGCAAGGCAGCCCCCAATGCATGTCTCCAGCCTCCTCTTTTACGGGTCAAGAACTTAGAACCTACTCCCAAATTTAGTCCTAGAGGACTCAATTTCTCCCTCTAGCTTCCTCTGCTTTTTAAGATCCTGGAGAGTTGGGACAGGAGGGCACAGACAAATGGACACAGACTCCCTTGCCCAGCATACAGGTCCCCCAACTCACTGAGCTGTCCAGGATCCCATTTCTGTCCGTGTCGTACAGCTTGAAGGTGACTGTGGGGTGTTTTAGGGGGGCCAGGATCAGTTTGTGAGAGATACCCAAAGAATTCATAACAGAATACAGGGGAAACAAAGAGATAGAGAGAGACCATTTGGATGAAGAGCCCAGAGCTTGGGGCTGGGACAGAGAAAGGAGACAAAAAGGGTGGGGAAACAGGCTTGGATTCCACCCTCAGTGAGCCTGACAGGGGAGACAGTACACACCTCCCACATCCCAACAACACCCCAGGCCACCCCCAGGAAATGCACAAGACATGGGAACTGAGGTGACTATATGGAAGGCATTAGGTATAGGAGTTTAGGGAACAGAGGAAATGGGCCCATTCTCTGGCCCCACCTTTGTCTGGCCCTGTCAGCCTTTAGGAATCCTGAAAAAATGAGGGAAGGAAGGCTGGGAAAGCCTCTCTCTCCCTTCACCTTTCCTCCCCTCTCCCAGTCAAGAGTGGCAACTCACATTCTAGCTTGTCTTCTGGCCGGCCACCCTCCAGAAGGGAAAAGTAGCAGGAGACATCACTGAGACATACCAGATCTGGTTACAAAAAGGGCAACAGATTTGAGGGTGGGCCTCCCTCCACTCTGGCTCTTCTCTTTTCCTTCGTTCCAGCTCTTCTCTTTAATTTTCCTCCCTCCAGCTCCTAGCCCAGCCTGGCCACTCTCCACCTCTCTCCCCTAGCCCTGCTCCTAACATGTGACTCAATTCAACTCTCGCCCCCCAAACCCGCGTTAATTTGACTTTTCTTCCGGAGGCCCAGCCCAGTCCCACCTACTTGACCATACCTTTTTTCACGGTCTCTTCTAAGTAGTAGTCAGTCTGGAAGGACTGAAACAGTGCCAGGCTTAGGTGACTGGGAACATTATCTGCTTCTAGATAGATTTTCAGGAATTGCTGGAATCCCTCGTACCCAATGGCCTATGACGAGAGCATGCATTAGCCTGGGGAGTCTGCAGGATGGGAGTTGGGGAGTGAAGAATTGGGAATGCTGGGGACAGAGACAATAAGTGCCGAGCTGAGAAGCATCCAAGGCAGGAGTACGATTTCTTGGGTTGAGTCCTCAGTTAAAGGAATATCTTGCTTTGCCCTAAAGCAATAGCTGTGGTAACAATGGATGCTGGGGTATCTAGATGGAGGATAGCAAGGGCCCAGAATAATCCCTGGCAGCTGGGGATCCCAACAGAGTAGCAAAAACAAAGATGGGAGGAGTTGGTCAAGGAGAGGATTTCCCAGCTGCCACTCACATCTCCTTGGACATATTCAGCCATTTCACCATCCTCGAAGAGCTTTAGGACATCACTGACCTTTTGGGTGGAGTCTAGCATGTGAAGAGAGTGAAAGAAGAGCATTAGTCTGGTCCGGCTCTCCCTGCCTTCTGTCAGAGTCCCACCCAGACATCCAACAGGAAAAAAGCGTCAAGTGAGATGAAGAAAGAAAAAATTTCAAGAAGAAATTGAGAAATACAGAGAGAAAACATTTCAGATCCTCCAAAGTGGTACCCCTCCTAACTTCTCTCCTCTGAGACTTGGAGCAGGCAGTCAAGGTTCAGAGACGTGTGGGTAGAGAATTGAGAACCCAGGCATCTCCCTATCTCCCTCTCCTCCTTTTCCCAGTTATAGGCAAATTTCAGGAGCTGTCTTGCTCAAGGCCACTGGGGAAACTGGGGGAGCTGGGGGGAATGAGGAGGAGGAGGGATTCTCTAGCGTAAGGTCTCCAGAACTGAAGGACTGGGAGGAAGACTCACATTCCATGTATTTCTGCAGCTGGGCAAAATCATTGGGGCTTATTAGGCCCCTCTCCTTGGCCATCTTTCTTTTTTCCTTAAGGATGGCCACAAAGGTGGCTTGGTAGTAGTACTTCCGGTGCCTGGACCTCCACTTACAAGGGCAGTTCTGGAGGAAGATGACAAGAGCATGTGGTGGGAAGAGCCAGCTGTCTGGTCTCTTTGCTTCTGTCTGCCCTGTCCATCCTCTACTGGCACTATGATTTCTTTCTTTCCTCATCTGAGTCCCTCCTGAAGCCTCTTCCTTTCCCTGCATTCCTCTCTCCTGTGTATGCCTCTCTCTCTCCCTGACAGAGTCTGTCCTCTGTCTGTTTCTCTGACTCATCTTTGACTTTCTCTTCTCTGTTTCTGGATCTTTCTCCAGCTCTCTGATTTCTCCCCCAAGCTGTCTCGATTCATCTCTGACCACCCTCACCTCCTCGCCCCCAGCCCCCTCTTTCCCAGTCTATATGGGTCTCTGTGAACGCGTCCCTCGCCTGTTTCTACCTCTTCTCCCGCCACCCCCAATCTCTGCAGTCTCTCCCGAGCTTGCAGTCTCTCGCATCTCGGATCCCGCAGTCCCGGCCCACCCCGTGGTTCTCACTGCGTTGGCGGCACGCCTCCCGGGCCACGACCCCATCTTGCTCCGCCTCCAGCCTCGGTCCCCAGCACCGCTCAGCCACCCACTCCCTGAGCCACCCACGCCCCGCAACGACCTCTAGCGCTTCTGACGCGCGACACAGAACCAGCTCTGGCCGAGTCCTCAGCCTCGGCCCCGCCTCGCCTGCGTCCCGAGGAGCTCCCTGGGGACGGGCGGGGACCCAGGCGCGCGGGATAGGGAAGAGATAGGGGAAGAAGGCTCTGAGCATCTGCTTAGCTTCCCAGTTCCAGGAGGGTTGAGCTGAGTGCGGGAGTCTTGGATGAGGCCTGGGGGGAGGGGGGGGTGTCTTCCTTCCACCCTACTAGGTTAGTAGTGTTTAGGGAGCTCCAGCTTTCGGCTCTGGGACCCAGGGACCAAAGAGGAGCCATCAGGTGGATCATGCTGACCTCTGGCCCAGGGGCCAAGTTGCAAAGGGCAACTTGCCTTGAGGATTCAATAACAGCAGTAACAATATCTTTCATTAGTATAGTACAGCACTGTTTTGAGTCTAACAGAGCTAGGGTTAGTCATGTCTGAGTTCCATTCTTAGCTCTGATACCACTATGTGACTTGGGCAAATTATATCTGTAAAATGGGGGGAATGATACCCATCTTTCAGTTGTGAGGAGTAAGTCAAATAATGTATGAAAAGTACCTAGTACAATGCCTAGCATTGTACTTCTATATGCCTATAGAAGGCCTACAAGAAATGGTAGTTATTATTGTATTAACAATTAAAATCTAATCCAATGAGACAGGAAATTATTGGTATAGCCATTCTACAGATGAAGAAACTGGAGCTCAAAGAGGTTGGGACTTCCTAAGGCAGGTGATAAGTGGAGGAGGCCAAAGCTCTAACCCGAGAACCCCATGTGGGGCCCCTGCCTGTCTCTCTGTCCTCCTCTCATTCCACTTGGTCCTTCACACACTGCCTTCTAGTCCACTGCCTTCCTTTCTGTTCCTCAAGCACGCCAAGTTCTTCCCTGCTTAGGGCCATGAGACTTACTGTTCTGTCTGCCTGGAACACCCTTCCCCACTCTTGGCAGAGCTGACTTCTCGCCCAAGCTGAAATCCAAGAGATCCAAGGTCTCCAAGAGACCTTCCCTGACCATTCCATCCTAAGTAGCTCCCTCCTTTGCACAGCACTCTCCTTTGTTTCCTTCACTGAACTTATCACAAGTGGAAATTATCTTCCTAACTCATTTGCTTGTGTGTTCTGTTTGTCCTCTTCTACCAAAATGTAAGGTCCCCAAGGGGGGGAATTGTTGGTCTCGTTCACCACTGTATCCCCAATACCTGAAACAGTGCCCAGCATGTTGTAGGTGCTCCATGTTGGTTGTACAAATAGTTGTGTAAAGTTAGGGAGTCATATTTTGGGAATATTAATCCAAATACAGTTAAATGAAATACCAGAGTGTCCATCCTGACAGGGGAATATGAGACAATTTGGAACACATATAGTAGGTGCTAAATAAATATTTGTTAAATGCATAAATGATGCTAGAAAGCACTTATTGTGGTACTCCATCCAAGGCTCTGACCTTCTACCCCCCCCCCCCCCCCCCCCCCCCCCCCCCCCCCCCCCCCCCCCCCCCCCCCCCCCCCCCCCCCCCCCCCCCCCCCCCCCACCTTATTTAGGGCTCCTTGGGTCAGGCTCAAGGAGGCAATCAATGCCTAAAAGAACTTCCTTTCTGATAGTGTAGCCTCTGTAGCCTCTGCCCTTGGGACAGCTGTGCCGCTCACCTCTGTGTAGCGTACCATTCCTGTTCTGGGGGCTCTCTGGGAACACTTAGAAGGGGATTCTGGGACACTGATATTCTGGAGAAAACACTGCACCCATCTGGCCCTTTTCTATGACTATAATCCAACTTCTACTGCCAACAGATCTAATGAATACAAAATAGTTTTATGGTTAATGGGGCCTGTATGGCTTAATTAGCCTCTCTCATTACCCCTGGGGATTCTTAGATGGCTCCAAGGCTCTAGGAAATGGAATCTGAGAGAGAAAGTGACAGGGAGAGAGCAAACAAGGGATGGCAAACAGGAGAGAGGACATGATGCTTCCCTCTCATCTTTCTTTTCACAGTGACCCTTCCTAGTCCCCCAGGTCTTAGATGTAGATTATCGTAGAGGTTAGGAGAAGGACTTTTGCATTAGATAGTCGTGGATTAGAATCCTAACTCTTGGGGAGTTATTTCATCTCCCTGAACCTGTTTCCTTATTGGTAAAATGGGTACCTAGAGAAATCAGTAACAATGCGGGGACTAAATAAGATAATATGTGACATATACTTAGCAAACTGCATGGCACAGAGGAAGAACTCAATAAACATTAGCTATTATTATCATTATTTATAGTACAAGGGTGGTACCTAGAGAAACACATCTGGAGATTAGGAAAAATGATGTCTTTGACCCAGCAAGGCATAAATTCTAGGAACTTCCAGTACCAATGAAGCCTAGTTGTACATCTTCCCTCCTCTGTCATATCTCAGGCACAGATATGAAGTATCAGGGTCGTGTAATTTGCCTCTGGGAGGGTGAGAAGGTGGCTAGAAACTAGACTGTCAGGGTCCAAAGACACCCCTGGGCTGGGACCTGGGACCAAGGACACTCCTGGCTCCTGGGATCTTTTCAGTTTCCTCCTGACTTTTCTCACCAAAAGTTTGGCTGCTCCTGCTGCTGGAAGGCAGCAAACCACCAGATCCTGGGGCATTAAAGACCTGGAACAACTCCAGTTTTGTCCTCCAGCTCCATCCCAACCCGGAGGCTATAACCTGGGCTAGTCCAGGCGAATGCCAGGGCAGTGGAGGGTGGGGTCTGGGGCCCTCTCGCCAGCTATTTGTGACTCACCCTTCCCTTCCCTCTTCTGATTTCCCTGTCCACCTCTACCAACTTGGGGTAAGAAAGTAAGAAGTTGACTTGGAGGCAGACACTCCTAGAACATCCTCAGAGCTGGGAGGCACCAACTGCCATATTTTACAGAGGAGGAAACTGAGGCCCAGAGAGAGAATGAGTCTCTCAGGGTCACACCCAGACTCTAGACATCTTGTCCTTAGTCCGTTCCACTAACATTTAACCAGTGCCTCTGGTTTTCTAGATCTTATTTTAAACATTAAACACTAAAATTGCTGGTAACCAAGAGATAAATATGATTTCCAAAGCTTAGTGCTAACATTTAAGGTTTCCTTTTTCACGCCAACATTCATTGCTCACATTCCAAGTCTTGTAAGTTTACAATTACTCAAGAATCAGCTATGCCCCCGAACATTCCGGCTGACTCAGCAAGGAACCCCAAAAGGCAGGCACTCCCCTTTGAGGACCTAGGCCTGCTTACCTGGACTTCTGAATCCCTTAACCACACCAGGGCCTGCATCCTCCTCCTCTTTTACAGGACTGAGGGACGGTCTATTCTTTCCTGCCCATCCCTGCTACTAGCCCCTAAGAGGGCATCATTTGGCTTAAAGCCTCAAATTTCATTCAGCTTCCACAAACATCACAGATGGTAGTGTTGCCTGATTAAGGGAGTGGTGTGTGTGTGTGTGTGTGTGTGTGTGTGCACACGCGCGCGCGGGGGGGGGTGTCATTGTGTAGTACAGGAGGAAGTTACAGTGTTGGCATGGTTGGGGGATGTGGGCTCATACCTTCTGAGGCTGAGGAGATGCCCAATAACATTTGCATTTCTTACTCAGTAAAGCTCCTTTCCCCCATTTAAAAGTGAAAAGTGGGATTTAGACCCAGGTAGTTTCAGAAACTTCCCGATGACAGGTGTGGAAAGGATAGAGGTGGGAAGTTGGGGACCAGGAGGCCAAACAAGAACCCCTCTCCACCCGTGCAGACGGGTGTGGAACTGTCCGTAGAGGTTCCACAACAGACCTTCCCCTGACTCTGGTCCCAAGCAGCCGAGCCGCACCATCCCTCCGAGTGAGCGGGAGGGATGCAGGGGAAGGTCCGGGGAATCACTGTCTGCGGGGTGCTGGCCCAGCCCTCCGCTGCCCCTCGCGTCCTGGCGCAAACTCTTCTGGCTACCCGCTCCAGCTGTCACGCTTCCTCCTTCTCCACCCAGCAGCCCTACCCCAGCCCCTGGGGCGTCCCCGCCCGCGCCCCCAGCCCCGCCTGCTCCGGGTGGGAGGGCGGGAGGCGGGGGGCTCGCGGGGTCCCTACCTTGCCTGCGGAGGGCGCGCGGTCGGAGCTGAGGTGCCGGCGCGGGAGCTGGAGCCCTTGCTGGGCTGGAGGGGACGGGCCAGGCAGAGGCGGCCGCCGGAGCCGCCCCGCTCCTGACGACACAGCTGCCCGCCCCCGACCCGGCCCGCCCGCCCGCGCCCTCGCCCGGCGCCCCCATCTTCGGGAACTCCAGTCGGACAGGCCCTGTCTCCAGTTCACCCAACCTGATTCCCCTTGCCCCCGAATATCTTCAGGGCTCTGGTCTGTGCCACTTTCTCCACATCCTGCGCTTCTCATCTTCTTCCCGCCCTGGGACAGGTCTGTTTCTCTCCATCTTCCTTTCTTTCTAATCACTCACAGCCTCTCCCCTCGTCTCAACCCTGGGAGACCAACATAGGGGGTGGGGCTGCTGATGGGACAGCTTGGCTGACGCCCACCCAGCCAGCATCTCACCTTCTCCTAGGTGCTGCCATCGGGGATTTCCCTTCCCAACTCCTTTCCATCCACCACTGACTTAATGCATACTTGGGAGATCCCACAGCAACAAGACCAGAGTTCCAGACTCCACATCCTGAGACCCATATACCTCCCTCCCTCCATGGGCTTCACACTGCTTGATGCGACTTGAGAGAATCTGGCCACCTTTGCCTTCAGGTTCCTCATCTCCCAAAAACCCAAGCCCCGGTTGTCTCAGACTTGTTTTCCCCAGTCTAAGGACACCTCCTTCTCTCAAGACTCAGATCCTTCCCTGAATTCTGCGGTGGAAGTTTAGGTGCAAAGAGCACTCTGGTCCGTGGCCACCCTTTCTCCACACCCTAACCCTCCCACTTTACCTGCTGGCCTTGGCAGGTGGTGTAGAAGGCCCCGGAAAAAAGTAGGGGTGAAAGGAAATCCTTTCAGCTTCTCCTGTCTGGAATCTCTTCTGGAGTTGTTAAAGGCTCTTGGGGCAGCATGAATGGTGGCGAGGCTAGTAGAGCAAGAGAGAGAGACAGAGGCCTAGGGACTTACTGGTAGGAACTGGGGACCCAGGCATCCTGCTCCCTGGCCCCACCCCAATCCCCGGTCTCACCCCCTCCTACCTTTTATTGAAGTAGGGCACAGTGACAAAAGCTTGAGTTCCTGGAAACTTCCCTCTTACACCTGGTGGTGGAAGAGAGGGGGCAGGGAGAGCTCTGACTGGAAGGGTGTATGTCTGCGTTGTATGTTGTGTGTCTACGTACACACATACATACACACACATAATATATACATACTTTTGGCAGGGGTTGGGGAGAAGGAGTGAATACATGAGGCCCCCTAGTGGAAACAGAGGGATCTAAGCAGTTCTTGATTGTTTCAAGACAGACTTGTCAGAAGAGACACCTCCATTTTTGTCAGAAATACAGCTGCTGAGTAATAGAGTTTGGCAGTACTGTTGTTGCATCTGAACTGGAGATCTGAGGCAGGGGTTGGAGAGGGTCTGTCTCTCTGCTCCAATCTTAAAAAAACAAGGGCCTTGCCACTCTCCATCCTTCATCCCCCCTTCCTATATGACCTCCTTAGTCATAAGGAATCATAAACACTTTTGAAGGCCTATTATGCACCAGGTCCTGTACTTAGTTCCGCAGCACTGCCAAACACACAGCCCAGCTTAGGGCTGCACCAGAGTGGCTTGGTGTGTGTGTGTGTGCAAAGCCTCTCCACTCTAAGCCATCCTAAACAAACATACAATATAGGTAAGAATTTAAGTCCCCTAGCCCCTCTTCCAATCAGTTTTCTGCCCCTGAATCCCTCATCTAGAAATCCTGGAATGATATTAATCCTTAAGGCACTCAGCTTTCCTTGCAAATAATACTCACAGTGATACTACCCTATGTATGACCTCTGTTTGTCACTTCATCATCCTCAGATATGTCCCTACATGAAGTTAAAGACACTCCTTTTAAGTCATTTTTTGAGACTTCAAAGTGGGGCATGAGGCAATCTCTGTAATAAGGAACAAGATGGAATCAGTCATGCTCTAGGCTTCTTTGTGTCTTCTTTAGGATCTGTCCCCATCATACCCCAAGTCAGTTATTGGTGGGGGTGGGGGAAAGAAAGGCCAAGAAACATCTAAGGAGGAGGCGTCTAATGCCTACAGTTCCAGGTGCTCATTTCTTTAATCAACCACATCATAAAAGTCAGAAAGAAAGAAACCACAATGAACAAAGGGAAAGGAAAAAACAACAGTCTTGTTCTCCCCAACCTCTTCTTTCTCCTCTTCCTCCTCAGGGTGGGGGGCCACATCCGGGGCCCAGGGCTGGGTCTTAGGCAGGTCTGCTAGGCAGACACTTGAGTTTCACTTCCTGTCAACCCCAGAGCTGAGGCAGGATGTCTGGGGGCACAGTGGGGTGGGTGCCTAGCATTGGGTAGTCAACAGGGCCCACTTTAGGATTCCCTCGTGCAGAAAGGTCCATTGAGCAGCGCACTAGTACTAGTACTCCTCAGGTAGTACAGTCAAGACCAAGGCATCCCTCTAGTTTTCACAGGCTTCATCTCACACTCTCACCTCTAATCATTAGTAACAAGGCTAAGGACAAGATGTTAGACCCAGCAGGGCTGAAGCACAATTGGTGAAAGAGCGGGGGTTAAGGATGGCAGTGTTAGAACACTTGCAATAAGTGTATTGAATGCAAACCAGTTTTTAAATGAGTCTTTTTTTTTGAGACCTTCTGAGTTGGGCCTCTGGTGGAACTCAGGAAGATGGAGCATGGGAAGGAAGGCAAGCTACGACCCGAGAAAATTTTTGAAGCTTCATTTCAAAGCTTTGGGAAGTTCCTAGGCAGCCATTGCTCTCAGTTTTTTGTTTTTTAAGTGAGGCATGCAGCCTAGTGTTGGAGGTGTCACTAAGCTTCGCCTCCTCCCTCCTCCCTGGTTCCAGCGGTACTGTTGGACATTAACCTAAGCCAAAGCCGGGGATTTGGAGGAAGGTAAAAGGGTTGATAAGGAAAAAGCAACACGGGGGTGGGGATGGGGGAGGGCAGAGCGGACACCTGAGAAGAGAAACCTGCAGCCGGCCCCTCCCAGGCTGTAGGGGAAACGAGTTTAGCAGGACTTAGCCCTGAGGGAACAACAGCTGCTGAAAAAAGCAGGGGAGGGAGAATTCTCATTTGGGTTCTTCTCAAGAATAGGGAGGCTCGGGGCAGGGCAGGACTGCAAAGGGAGTGACCGAACGGGCCTGGATTACTGGCGAGTTGCCCCGTTTTAGAGCCCCAGCGCCCAGAGACTTGGACGAGGTCAATTAGAATACTAATGAGGTCCGCCCAGAAGCCCTCACCCTACCCTCTGACCCCGGGACCCAGCCCGAGGAGGCTCCCGGGGTCGAAGGCCAGAGAAAACTTAGGCCGTCGTCACGTCGCCGCCCGAATCGCCGGGGCCGCCCCAGGGGCAGGGCCAGGCCAGGGCTGCCCGCCCAAACCGGCCGGCCGCCTCCCGGGCCGTGGAAGCCGCCGGCAACCCTGAAGCTGCGGGGACAGGTGACCGGCCGGCAGCGCCCTCCTCCTTGCAGTCCCCTCTCGCGGGTCCCTGTTCGGAGGGTTGAGCTGGTGGTCGAGGGCACTCGGCAGGCGATTTCGACCTCCCCACCTTCTAAGAGAGGGTTAGTTGGGGTCTTCCACTCGCCCCCAACCACATCGGTGCGCCCCAGTGCGTTCCCCTCGGGGGAACGCCCCTCCTCACGTCCCCTAGCCACTCTGGGACCTGGGTGCAGGCCAGGGCCTGAATATTCTTCCTCATTTATCAGCCCTCCTGTCCGGGTGCAGGTGGGCCTTGCCCCCTTTTCCTTCGCAGGTCCTGGACGGACGAAGAGTGCCTGTGAGGAGAGAGAGGGTCTGTGCCTCGGAACTTCTCTCGGCGCCCAAAGGACTGCTTTACACGCAGCAGGCGCTCAATAATGGTATCAGTGGCAGTAAAAGAGTCCATGGCTTTTATTTTATTAAAGTCTTCGGCTTCTCCTCCCTTCTTCCTCCTTCACTTCTGTACATGAAAATGGTGTACTGTCCCTTTAAGACTAAAATGGTGGCCTGCTACGATCAGGACTCCACTTCCGGTGGGGAGGGGGGCGGGACCCCAGCCCGCTCACGCCGGAAGTGGTTTGCGTTTTCAAGATGGCGACTCCCTATGTAACTGACGAGACCGGCGGTGAGTGCGGGAGGCGCGGAGCCGCTTCTCCCCGGGCTCTCGGGGCAGGGGTTCGGACTTGGAAAGGGGTCTGTGCCCCGCCCATCCCGGGGCCCCTCCTTTGCCCCGCCCTCCGGACCGCCTTCTCCATTCATTCTCTCCTACGGGGTGTTACCTGCGCCCCCTTCTGGTCTCGTGTTTGGGGGTCTCTTGCTTCCGGTCACCCAAACCCTGGGGTCCTTCAATGCTGGTCTCTGCTCCAGGACCCTCACGAGCCCTTAGCTTTTCTCCAGCAGTTGGAGCTCCCATATCTCTTTTGGGTTATCCAGCCTTGGGGGTTCCTACACTCCTCAGTTCTCTCCAATTCCTGCCTTCCCACTCTTCCCCTCCCCCATCTCTTAGCTATACCCGCTTTCTGCCCTTCCCCAGCCCCGTCTTAATTCTTTTTCTCGAAGCTGGATCTGTTGAAGACCTGCTCATTGCTACATAGTGCTTTTTTCCACTCTCTCCCTCATCTTCATTGTTGGGTCACTGAGGTCTAGAGGTGTGAAGAGAAGAGGAACCAGTAAAACTTTTCAGCTTGAGTTTTTCTCTTTGATGGCGCCACCCCCCTCTGCCTTCTCTGGTGATGATAATAGGAGTTGAGGAATCTAAGGTGGAAGAAGCCAAACAAGAAGATGTCTAGTGGCCTCTCAAGCCCTCTGACAAGTTGATAGAACCCACTATTCCTTCTGGCTAGAGAAGAATTTCCTGCCTGGCTGATTGAGATGCTGAAGTGTCGGCTGTGTATGTGAGGTTTATGCGTTGAAAACTGAGAATCAAGATTTTCATTGTGATTTGTCCCATCATAATTTCCTCATTTTTAGAAAAATGTGCGTAGTATTATCTAGCCAGTGACGATCAAATAAGATAGTGTATGTGAAAACAATTTATAAAATACTGTGCAAGGCAAGGTGTTACTGTTTTTTGTAGCCCTCATTGTGTATGTGTAGTCTTCTGTAGAAATGACATTGTACGTGTGCTGTGGTATATACAGTCTGTTTTAAAATATGCCATTTATGCTTCTTGCTTTGCTGCTTTCCATGTTCCTTACATCTCAACCCACCTCTCCTATGCTATCTAATGACAACCCAGGTCTCTGCTACTTCTCCCCACCTTGCATTTCAAAGTAGTATAACCTCTCTTCTCCTGCTCTCTACTTCTTTGACTAGCTCCTTTTAATGTGTGCTTTGAAAATATTACTCAGTGTCCGGCGTACTTCTCTTTATTCTTAACTGTTTTCTTTAAACTGATTTAATGAAAATCCAGATATCACATCTCACCATCCCTCCCACGAAGAGGTATCTTCTGTCCTTTGTGACTATGTGGAAGAGGAGAAGGAATCATACTGCTTTTTTGCTCTTCTTACTGCTTCCAGATCATTAATCTACCACTGTCACTCTAATCCTGGTGGAAGGTACTGGCGTGCAATTATAGCATTTTCTCTAAAACCTCAGGGCCATCATCTACTGCCCACAAGGATCCAGACCTATTGCGTCATATTTTTTTCTCCACTCTGTTTCTTGCTCTCATTCTCAGTGTCTCCAGCATTTTTGGAATACTCTTGATGTTATAGTTCCTCAGCATGAGACCATTGACTTTCCTTTGTATTTTCAAACCAGCTACACATCAGAATCACTACAACCGGGACCTCACCTATGACACTGCTTCCCCTTCCTGGGCTCCCCATCGCTTGCGTTAGCCTCCTTACTGGTCACCTTTTTCACTACCTCACAACCACAGAATCAGCTTTTTGCCCTCTTTAGGTTCTCTGGTTCTTGACCTTTCCTGTTTCGTTGAGTCTACCAGTGCCTTCATGATTACCTGCTAGACCTCTGTGCCCAGCCACTTTGATA